TTTTGTTCATATTTTTTTAACTATTACATTTACACAAATTGCATATAGAAGGCGTTTATAGCATTTCAAAATACCTTTCAAACAAGATGCAGCACAAGTCTGTAGCTTTAGTAGTATAGAAGTTACGGTTTTCCGAATTTTAGCTATTTATAGCTGTTTTCCCGCTAAACTAGCGAGTTTTTCCAAAAGTGGTAGAACAAAAGTTTTTTATATCGATGGGATGAACGTCATATTAAATTTTCAAAACTTAAGAAACATGTTTTGGACAAACTGACAAACTGACAAACTGACAAACAGAATTAAATTTTCATTTTGGGAAGAAGAAGGAAATCTTATTTTGGCTATAACTTTTGAACGGAGCGTCGGATTTTGACAAATGACCCCTCATTCGACGGGTATTTTCAAAAGGAATACAACTAAAACATTGCGAGGGGGAATTTATCCCCACCGGCCCCAACAGCTCCAAATTTCGAAATTTTCATTTTTTCACTTTCACCGCTCTCTCTCCCAAGCCAATTGATTTTCTTAAAGTCTTGGTATGCAATCCTTTAAGTTATTGCAATACCTTTCGATTGGTGTATTACTCATTACGATCGGACTATCACAGCAGATTTTCAATTTTGCGGCTATATAATAGTAGTCGCCTTCGCACACTCTCCTGGTGCGCTTCGTCACTACATGGACTGCCGTCCATAGTGATATTCATTCAAAAAATATTAAAATTTACATCTCGGTCATTTTTGGATGTGTGTACTTAGAGAGGGCCACAACTATTCGCTTCGCTAATTGGAAAATGTCACAATTTATTTTATTTTTATGTTTAATTGGATTCTGCTGAACGGAAAGTTTACTTTGGAGGGATGAGAAGCGTCGCCTAGGTACGATGCATGATAATTTTCTTAATTTGCGCGCCTTGATGAGCAGGAAAAGCGGGAAAATCAACGGGGGTGAGGAGAAGAAGAACTCAGGGGAAGTTCCTGGCGCTAGTGAGAAAACGAAACTTTTTCCATTTTGCTGATGGCATGTGTACGTGTAAAAGTTTTGCCCACAGCACAGGGGGAAAAGGACGAAGGACGACTCTTCAAAGGTGCAAATAAAGTAAATTATTAGATTCTTCTTCTGCTGCTTGTGGATTTCCGCTTCAATTACGGCCGCTGCTCTCGCATAAATTTCACTTGACAAACTTGCTCGTGATAGTTGGCAACCCTAACCCACACACACACAGTGACACACACACACACACAAGCACCCACTCACATTGACAAATTAAGGATCTCCGCAGGGGGCGACATGTAATTGCTATTAGTTATACCCCAGCCAAGTTTAATGAGAGTTCAGCGTGTAATCACAGCTGAAGTTGCTTCTCACTAAGCCATTTATTCGTTTTTAGATTACTTTTTTAATATTAGATATCTCAAAAAAGAAGATATGGGCACTTCCAAAATGTCGCTCGGGACATTTGCACACCTTTAAAGTTGAAAAAAAATTGTAAAACAATGGATTTTAATTTTAATAATGGGCTTTTCTTTTCACTCTTCCCAAGCTCTATTTTTGGAAAAAATCTTGATTTTGTACCACTTTTAGTTTTTAAGATATCTGTAAAAAACTGCCGTATTCGCTCGGGACAAAAATAGAAGTGGATTTCGGGGAAGTTCATACAACACCAGAAATTAGCGAATTCTGATGGAATATTTGAATGCGATTTTTTTAGAATGTTGTTCAAACATGTCGCTGTGAAATGCTTTTGGTTTCACTCAAAAATTCTTTGCCGTTCTTTTTTTATGCAGTTTCAACCACATTCGCTCGGGACATGTCGCTCGGGACATTTTTTCCGACTGTTTTGTAAAGCGGATTTCTTTACCTCTATCTCTCAATTGCTGGATGCTTTGCTTTTAACTTAATAGTTTAGCATGTGAATGAAGCATTCAGTACATAAAAATGTCACATATTTGCATTCCTATAGGATAAATATACAACAGAAGACAGGTCCAAAAAATAACAAAAAATAGCCAAAAACTGGTTTTTGCGTATATTGGTGGAGTTTGTCATAAAAATAATCAAACTATACTGCAAATTTATAGTTAAGCTCAGTATCCAACTAATTAGAAACTAATATCGGGGCAAAATCATGTGGAAATATGTTTTTTTCAAGTTTCAAGGTTTTTGGCTTGGTGGACTTTTTTTTGGAAGTGCCCATATACGTATTTCCTGGGGATATACTCAATGAATACGTGACTGAACAGACCGAAGGGCATTACATAACTTTACTGTTGAACTGATTAAACACGAAACCCCGAAAGTAGATCAGCAAACTCATCGAAAAAGTGCGGGGCCATCAGTTGTTGTGGGTTGGAGAGCTTCTCGGGAAAGTTTTTGCCCATGTGCGAGTTAATTAGAAGCCTATTGATAAAGTTGAATTGCAGCTAATGTGGCAAAGTTGGGCGGTCGCTCAATGGCGCTTGGCTGATTTTCCCATTTTCCCCCGCGGCAAACTAGATGCACATTTATTAATTAAAATGCCGCAAAAACACAAACACGCAGCACCATCTCGTCTCTTTCATTAGCGTTTTGTCAAGTGCTCATCAAAAACAGAGCGACACAGAGGCCAAATTGATGGCCCGTGTTTGTTAGTTTAATTATGCATTTCCACAGCGAGTCCTTCAGTTCACAATATGTATGCTGGAATAATGCAAAAGGACACGAGTGGCGGCCCACAGACAAACAAACAAACAAACAGCCAAACAACCGAACAAACAAGCAGCAAACAATTCACGCACATCGCACAGAAAATGCGGCTTATGTCAACAATAATTTTTGCTTTTCTGCTTTTTCAGACCGGTTCATTTCCCAATTTCTGATTTTTCATTTACCTGCGGTCGTGTGTCCACTCGTTGACCGCAAATTTCTAATAACAATTTGTAATTGCCATAAATTAAATCACTTTCGGGCCCAGCATCTCCCGCGGATCTATTCTCACCATCGAATTTCCGAGTTTTCCAAACTATTTCGATTATTAGTTTTTTTTGCGGCTTGGCAAAATTTCCTGCCAAACCATTTATTATTACCATAAATATTCGAAATTTAGGCTGCTGTTCTTCTTTTTCTGGTTAACCATATCCCGCTGATTTATTCTCACCGTCTGAATGATTTTATTGCTTGTAAATTTGCTGTCAGCCTTTTTGATTGTTTATTTTTAATCGGAAAATAAAATTTAACATTTGTTTTTCAAAGGCGTGCTTTAATTTAATTAATTACTCAAGGGCTTGCTGAAAGAAAGTTATACTTATTAACTTTTTTTAAGGTATTAGTCGTGTGTTTGTTGGTTGATTTTACAACTTTCAGTTAGTTTCTAAAGAAAGGAAAGGTAGGTAGCAGATAAGGTATTCCCTATACTGTGCCCGAGAATCTAACTAACAGCAAAAGTGAAAGTATATTTAACATACTTTCGGGGTTAGTTTTCTCCACGCAACCGCATACCTACAATTCCCAACTGGTTCTGGCCGCTCCCTGGTGGAAACCCAACCCCTGAGCTGAGGAAAGCATACTTACCTGGCGTAGAGGTTAACCGTGATCACGAAGGCGGTTCCTCCGGAGTGAGGCTTGGCCATTGCACCTCGGCTGAGTTGACCTCTGCGATTATTCCTAATGTGAATAACTCGTGCGTGTAATTTTTGGTAGCCGGGAATGGCGTTCGCGCCGTCCCGACATGAGATATAAATTTGAAGGGTCTATAAATATTGTGTACTTCGAAACTATTTATTGTTTGGTCATTTAACAAGTTTTAGTCATTATTGCTGGCTACGAATGAATATGGCTAGATCATCGACTCGGAGATCGAGAAAGTTTCAAAATTATTCATAGGAGGAACAGAACACACTCCCCATAATCTGGTAGTTTTCCTCTTCTTTCGGCATGAGTGGATGACCATCCATCTGTTATCACTGAGAAAGTAGTGATCGTATGACTCACTTCTATGCTGAAAGAATGTCCTCCGACACTTATCCATGTGGAGCATCAATCATCTACTTGAAAGTAACACCGATGCGGCTTAATTTCTAGAACGTAAAAAATACTTTCTCGTCGGTCCATTATACCTTTTCTTTCTTTTATAGGGCGAAGGCGGCACAGACACTTCCGCCGTTCTCGACTTCCTTAAAATTACTTAATAAACATAAATTACATGCTTTGCCGATCCTTTCTACTGTATAATTAAAGATCATGCTGCGTACGGAAACTGCACGGGCGACAGAAGGAAGATTAGCCATGTCATCGGCTGCGTTCTCAGAAAGGACGAGACATTGGCCATGATAGTGAAACTGGTTGAAGAATAATTATAATAAGTTCAGTTACACTAACGTTAATCCAGAATACTAAACAACCGTTTTCCGAAAAGCCCAATTTTAAACCATCTTCAAATTTATATCTCATGTCGGGACGGCGCGAACGCCATTCCCGGCTACCAAAAATTACACGCACGAGTTATTCACATTAGGAATAATCGCAGAGGTCAACTCAGCCGAGGTGCAATGGCCAAGCCTCACTCCGGAGGAACCGCCTTCGTGATCACGGTTAACCTCTACGCCAGGTAAGTATGCTTTGCTCAGCTCAGGGGTTGGGTTTCCACCAGGGAGTGGCCAGAACCAGTTGGGAATTGTAGGTATGCGGTTGCGTGGAGAAAACTAACCCCGAAAGTATGTTTCACTTAGGGCTGTTTTAAAAAAAGGTTGTATAGAGATATTTTTGCAAATTGCAATCATTTTCAAGCGATTTCTACACTTAGTAAATCTTTTTCTAATTATATGTTTTATTATCCATTACTTTTGAATATTACACCATCCCAATTCCCAAAAGAGTACAACAACTACAGATTTGCTTGGTTTTTCGAAAGTTTATTAGACTTTTTGCGCACCTTACATACTAAAGATCAATGGGTGGTTCGTTCGATGGTCGTATCTCGAATTTCCGAATCAGAATCGCAGCCGCACACACAACGACGACGCTCAGAACTTGAAGTACTTGGTGTAGTAGTCGTTGAAGAAGGAGTAGTCGAAGTGGCCGAAGTTGGAGTAGCTCTTGTACTTGTAGTAGGGCTCCATGGTGTCGGCGTGGTAGATCATCACGTCCTTGAAGTACATGTTGGGCACGAAGAACTCGTACTCGTCGACCTCGCGATCGAAGGGATAGCCGAAGGGCAGGCTGTCGACGAAGCGGGCTCCGGAGCCAATGCCGCACGAGTAGGTGTAGTCGAAGGTGGAGAACTGCTCGTGGGCGGGGGCCACGTAGGGAACGACCATGAAGAACATCTGCATGGGCATGCCCTTCTTCCAGCCCATGGGCAAGACGAGGCGGTCGGGGAAGCCGCAGTGGGGCTCGCTGATGTCCAGCGGGAAGTCGTACTTGCCCTCGAAGGCCATCATCGTGTAGTAGTACAGTTCGGTGTAGGTGGTGCGGTCCTTGACGGTCCAGTAGAAGTCGCTGGACTTGCGGGTGATCATGTTGCTGCCGGCCTTCAGTTCGTAGAAGAACTCGTCGATCTCCATGAAGTTCTGGCGGTTCTCGGTCAGCGAGATCATCCTGCCGAACTCATCGTACTTGGGTCCCAGGAAGGCGCGAATCACCACCTTCTCGACCTTGTCGGACTCAATGGTGTAGGTGTAGGTGAAGGGCTTGTGGTTCAGACGCATCTGGCGGGCAAACAGCGACTTGTCCCACACGAACTTGCCGTCCTGGAAGACCATCTTGTCGTTCAGCATGTTGGTCACATCGAAGTCAACCAGATCGAAGAAGGTGGTCAGATCGCTGACCTCCACATGCTTCATGGTCACGCCGGGCATCAGCAGCTGCTCCTTGGTGTACTTGGGCAGGTGGTGCATGAACTGGAAGTAAACCGAGGCGATCGACTTGTAGAACATGTAGTACATGGGGTCCCGCATCATGGTCTCGAAGTTCAGCATCACATTCGGGTAGACATCCATCTGGGTGTAGTCGGTTTCGGCAAAGTACATGTGGGCGAGCATGTACCAGAACTGGTAGAACATCTTGTCCATGGCATCGATGTTGCCCTGCATCATGTTGCCAATGAACTCGATGGACTCGGGTTTGCGCAGATCGATCATGTGGCCATCGGCGGTCTTGTAGTAGCCCATCTCGACGATGTTGTGGGCGCGCTTCACGAAGCCGGTGATCTTGTCGAGCATATCGAAGTTGCCGTAGGTCTCCATCTCGTAGTAGTTCTTGCGGTAGCTGTAGCCGATGCCATTGTAGTAGATCATCTGCGGGTCGTAGCCCATCTCGATCTGGTGGTACCAGGAGAACTCGGGGATCTCGCCGAATCCGTGGGACAGACGCTCCATGTAGTAACGGCTGAGCATCTGGTGCACGTTGTACAGCCACCATTCACCGCGACGATCGTTCTGCAGCTCGAAGGTCTTGCCATCGAGGAAGAAGGAGTAGTCCATGTTCAGGTAGTACCAGTAGGCGTTCCAGCCCAGATCCTCGGTGAAGTAGGACAGCATCGACTCCTCGTTGTAGATGTCCAGATCGCGAGAGTAGTCCACCGGCATGTAGAACTTCTTGACGTCCTTCATCATCGACAGCCACTGGGACTCCTGGTAGAATTCGTTGATGTTCTCGCGCAGAATGAACTTGTCGTTGCTGTACCAGTGCTCGCCCAGACCCATCAGTTTCCACCACTGCCAGGTCTTGAAGTCCTTGATGTAAGTGTAGTCGCTGGACTGGTACATGTTTCCGTATCCATAACCATGCGAGTGGGTCTTGTAGTAGACATCCATGTACTCCTTCTCGTACATCGTCATCTTCATCCACATCTCATAGTCGAACTTCTCGGCCTCGTAGACGAACTTGCTGTTGAAGAAGAACTGCGGGAAGATCTCGTAGATCATGGGCAGCACCAGGCCATGGAAGTCGTTGCGATGGATGACGGCCAGGGTCAGGGCGTAGACGAACATGCCCTCGTTGACGTGCATGCGGGCCCAGGCCACGTTGGTCTTGAAGGTCTCCCAGTCCTTGGCGTAGTAGAAGAAGTTGAACAGGCCGCGGGCCTGCTTGGCATGGGACATCACCAGGGCGCCGAAGAACTCGCCCTTGGGCAGCAAGGCGTGCGCCTTGTAGGCCTCGAAGAACTTCTTCATGTACAGGTCGTAGTGCTGGGGGGGAATTGGGAGAAAAATATAAGTATATTTGTAATCCTAGGCAACGGAATTGGTTTGCTTATTTTTAAAGGTTTTTTATTAAATAAAATCATCCACAAATTTTTTAGAACAAGACAATGCTTGAATTTTTCAACAAAATAAGAGCGCGAACTCTTCAGAACAAGAGAAACTAATATTTGCCACCATTAGATTGATTCATGAATAAAATAAAAACGCGAATTCTTCAGAAAAATTGAGAAAATTTAAAATGAAATTCTTGAAAATATCAAATTAATAATAATTAATATTAACTTGATATTTTTAGAGCCGATATGAATAATTTTGAGTTTATAAGAAGAATTTAAATTTTTTTATTTCTGTGTAGAACTGGCCTTGAAACACTTGTTCACTCACCGTGTAGTAGGACTCCTCGAAGTAGAACTTCTGGCCCAGCTTGATGTACTCCTCGTTCATCAGGGGATCCTCGATGCGCAGGACCATGTCGTTGAGGAACATCTGCTTGATCAGGAAGTCCTTGTCGGCGATCTTGACTTCATGGGTCTGGTGGAAGTTGGCCGCAGCCACAAGGCCCAGACAGGCCAGCAATGCGATGGCGATCTTCATGTTGAAGGACCTCTACTACACTCGACTCGACTCTACGACTCAACTGCTCCGGATTAGATGCACTCAGTGGATCCAATGCCTAAAGACTGTTGCCTTACTGCCGTCCAACGGGCTGCTTTTATACCCAAAAGGTGCGATGGTATATGGTATGGAATACGGAGCTTGCAATCTCTGGCGAGATATCGCGGTGCAGTTTCGGGGGTCATTGGGTGTATCTCAGGTGCTCCGATCGCGCCATCTGTCGCCAAAATTGCGACGCCCAGCTGTCGTCTAGCTGCCGCTTATCACCCACCCAAACTCGCCTTGGTACCCTCTTATCACTTATCGAAAGCCGAAAGCCCGGGTTCTATTCTATATATTCCCCGTGTGTTGCCAAGAGCCATCTGCAGGTGCAATCAAAACGGAATTACGTCAATCTATAAAAAACAAATCCGTGTCCAGCTATCTCAAGTCTCGTTCGATGCATTTTTGTTTTTGCAAGTCTATTTTAAGCATTTTCGGCTCTTTTGTCTTGAAACACATAAAATCAGAATGAACTGGTTTTTTTAACGACTTGTTATTGGAAAAATAATTTCTTTACCTACATTTAAGCCTTTAAATAATTATTATAAAAATGGTTAAATGATATTCCAATCTGTTTTTAGCAAAGGAAAAAAATGTTAAATGTAATATGTAAAATAATTTATAATAAAAAGAAGAATTTATTTTTTAAAATATATTAATATTTTATAAAAAAATAAATATATATTTATCTAATTTATCTCAATTCACATAAAATAATATATATTTCCAGTACCTACATTTTGGTAGTCTCAACAATGTGGCAATCATTTGAAATAAATTCTAATAATAATAATTTTAGAACTATCAAATGTGACTCTTGTTTTTTCTTCGGTCTGCAGGCATTTATTTACTAAGAGCAGTCTAGGGAATAAGGGGGAACCAGCCTCAACCCGACTCCCCACATATGGGGCTGCGTGAAATCCAATCAACTTTTTCTAATCAGGCAAAGTATAAAGTAAATTCAATTACGCGGCTACTTTGAAAATCCCCCCGGGATCACACGCCTACACTCAGAAAAAAAATCGCCCTGAATTTTAGAAAATCGCCATACTTTTTAAGCCAAAGGCAGCTCGCCTTGCCTTTTAGAAAAAATATTTCTAAAATCTAAAAAAAAAATTTCTAAAATTTAGGGTTAGTTTTTGCAAAATTGAATAAGAAGAAGAAAAAAAATCGGGGAATCGGGAGTTATGCCGACTCCACCCCTCTGTCGGTGTGGGGTGTTGTTGTTGGGGTTCTCGTTTCTCAACTTATTTTTCTCTCCTCTATTTAAACACATGGATGACGTCACGATGCTTGTACATAAACACACTTTTAATCTTAAATTGTAACTGAAATAATAACTGAAATTATTATATTATTTATTAATGATAAACATAAAAATCAAATAACTTATTATCTGGAGAAAAACATTTTGGTCGCTCGCGGGATTCGAACCCCTTACCTCACAGTTTGCAGTCAAACACTCTACTAGCTGCGCCAGGGAAGCATCACGAGAGACGCTGTACAAAGAACATTCTCATTCTGTTCTCTTGGGTTCTAGGTTTATACTCTTATTTATCCATTATGTGTGTGTTAGCTTACCTAAATCCTTATTTGTATTAAAGTATACATTTTAATGCGCCAAAAAAAAAAAAAAATAAAGACGCAAAAAATGTCCGCCTCGACGTGGGATCGAACACACGCTTCCGAATAAAAGCGTAGAAAACAAATAATCCGCTCGCATTAGACCCCTAGGCTACCGATTGGCCAATTTCCTAAAATGTAAGGCGATTTTTTCTTAGTTTGAAAGAAAAATTTCTGAATAACAGAACATTTTTCTAAAAGTGGATAACAAGAGGAGTTGATTTAATCAGGGTAAGTTTTTCTTATTATTTAGAAAAATTTTTCTGAAAAATAGAAATATTTTCTGAATTTCAAGGCGATTTTCAAAGTATGGCGATTTTCTAAAATTTAGGGCGATTTTTTTTCTGAGTGTAGGACTGCGTGTGTGACATTCATGTGGGTTGAATGCCGCCTTCTTTTTTCCCAAAAGAAATTTTCGAAAATAAATAGAATTCCGCCAAAGTCAAAGCAGAGTAAACAAGTGCGAAGTGTTGGGCGCGAAAGGAGGGGAATCCATGGCAACTAATCAGAAATTCCGTCTCATGCGTTGATGTGAAGTGTGCCAGTGCCACCAAAAAAAAAATATAAAATAAAATAAAAACGACAGACAGGACAGGATGAAGACGGACCCGGGATAAGGAGCTGGTGATGGAGATCCCAGAAACCCAGAAAACCCAGCCCAAGTGGCATCGCTACAGCGCCTGGGATTATGCAAAATTCAATTTGCAACTTAAATGTGTTTATTTTGCGTTACGCTGCTGGGGAAATTTTTATTTTCACTGAAAATGAGGGATTTACTTACTTACCAAGTGGGTGGAGAATCTCCTCCTGCCGCCGAAGAGAATCCCGCCGAGCGATAAGCGAACGGGTAGCCGGAAAAGCTGAGGGGGAGGGGGGAGAGCGTAACCAAACCAATGAGCAATACCGCCATCAATTTTCCAATCTTATTGAGCGTTTAAAAATGTGAGTGTGTGCACTGCAAGAAAATAGTTGGTAGTCAGGGGTTTATTGAAGATAGTCACGAAAAATGAAAGACCTATTTTTACAAGAATTCAAATATATATTTTCATTAAAATCAGAAAATCATTTTGTAGTTTAATATGTTCAATACTCATTGATTTAATTTCTCAACCTATTACCAAATATTGTCAATGGATTTCTTTTGTTCTTAGTAATAAAAGTTTTACATAAAAAAAATAGAAATGCCTAAAATATTTAGGTATTTCTTTTTAATAATTTTTATAATTTTATCAACATTTTAATTTTATCAGCTTTTTAATTTGATATTTAATTCACAACGTGTATTGTAGATTTATAAAATATTTTGTTTATACCGAAAAAACATAATAGATATGTGAAAAAATGCATCAAAATATTTGTTAAAAAATAAATTGTTTTTATATTTTTTTTATAAAATTTCTATGCTTTGTGTATCGACGTGGGTGTTTCCCATTTTGGAAGCGTGTTGGTGGTGCGACAACGACATCGAGAACGTCCTGTGCCCGGCTGCAAATTGCTGATTTACAAACAAAATGAGATTTCCGGCGGAGAACCGCAGTCCGCCTCCTCTTTTTTTATGGGCCAAGCAGGCAACATAAACAGTTTGCTCTCCATCCGATTTCCTCCCGGTTTTCCCCTGGTTTTTCCCCCCGAATCAAGAGCCTTTGCATAATAAACGGAGCTGCAGAGTGCAGAGACAAATTGCCGAATTCAATTTGATAGTGGAATTTAGTCAGCCGTTTATTTAATTTTATGACCCAATCAAAGCCATTTCGCCTTTTTCTCGAGATGATGAAAATGGGGTTTTCCGACCTGACTTATCGCAGCGTCTTTAATTACTTGTCAGTCATTAATTGTTTGCTTATGACAGTGGAATTAAAATTTTTGAGGGATGGGGGTCTCACAAATGACAGTTGAATGGAAATTTAGTTTGGAAACAAAGCGTTAACTGGAAGCCACACAAGGCACCGCCGAAACCGCCTACATGGAAAATGTTTTAGTTGCCAGCACGCAAATTAGCCGAAAGTTTTGCCTCGAAGAAGAAGGAGGACAGTCTTGAACTCGGATGGACCTCGAACCACCCAACTAACAGTAGGTATACCCAAAAGCCTCCCAGAAATGAATATTTGATGGCCGTGGGGCCGGGGAACAAATTAAAAGCGCTGGCAAAAGCTTGTTGCATACTTTATGGCGCTAATTTGGAAAGACCAGGACCTCATCTATGTAATATCTAAGTTGGTGAAGTTAAGCCCCCAACCCCTTTGGCTCCTTGTTTATGCACGCACATTAATTCCAAAAGGGTTCGCCCTTCTCCTCCTTTCGGCAAACCGCATTTCGGAACTGCAAAATGTTGTCGCAACAACTAAATGCTTTTAAGTGCATTTCATTGTTCACTGTTTCGGTCGGCAAAAGTTGGAAGCCCCGAAAAATGGATGCACCATTTGGAAAGACCAGAAAAAATTAAAAACTTGAGGTGTGGTAACCAGAACTTAAACTATAGTGAGGGCCGTTTTCTCGAGTGCCAATTAAAGTGAGGGTTAAACCTTTTTTTGTGCTGTCACTTTATCTATTAAAAAAAATATTTAACAGTTCGAGTAAGTTCTAGCATAAACGCCCCGAAAAATAAAACTTCCTTAACCTGCATTTCATCTGTTAACTGGCACTCGAGAAAACCCTTTGAAACTTTTCAAGTGAACGGAAAATGTACCAAATGAATGGCAAACGGTTGCTCCCTCATAAATATTCATTCGCAATTTGTGTAAATACCACCCCGGCTGCACACTTTTGATAATGTGTCGCGTTTTAATTATGAATTAATTGCGAATGATTTCAACATCATGCATTTTAATTGACATGCCATTGTGTGTGGGGCTCAGCGATCTATGTGCGCATATCTGCCATATCCGCCATATCTGCAAGGTGTCATCCACTCAAGCACACACGCATCATTTATCACGCGACAGGGAATGAGGATGTCCAGAGGACCCGGACTATAGCGCTATATATATAGATGTGTATACCAGGGGATGTCGCATCCATTGTGTGGTCGCCACTCGTTTCAATCAATTTCATTTCGTTATCGTTATTGACATTTTGTAATTTAATCGTGTGCTTTGTCGCATGTGGACCGTCATGTGGCACACAAACACAGATCTACACTGCCAGAAATAAATGGAATACTTAATTTCACTTGCTAAACAAAAAAGAGGGCAAATACAGATTAAAAATAAATAAATCTGCAGACTCATTTACTTTTAGATTTCAAACACCATTTTTATTATTAAAAAATTTTATTCATTACATAAATAAATTATTCTTCAACACTTTACAAAATATTATAAACAAAAATAAATAGTTTCAATAAACGGGTTACACTCAAAATAAAATTAACCCTAAAGTTAAGGAAATCGCCCTACTTTTGTCTTCAAGACAAGCTCGCCCTAAATTTTAGGGTCACATTTTTCTATATTTTTGATTTTTTTTGACGTCATATTTCTAAATTTTAGGGTAATTTTACTAAATTTAAGGGCAAAAATTTCTAAAAAGTAGGAAATTTTCCTAGAAAATAGAAATTAAAAACAAAACAAAAAAACATGTTCAATCATGATTTTTTTTTTTGTATATACGTTTATATTATGTACTCCTCCCTATATACATATGCAGGCGTTGTGTTTCTTGTATATTGTGAATGTTAAATGTTATGTATTTATTATTATGTATTTGCGCTTGGATTTCTTATCTAACCAAAGCCAAATGTTGCTGTAAATGTGGACTACGGGACTGCGGAAGATTGGGAATGTAGAAATTATGATTAGTTAATATTTTATCTTCATGAAAAAAACTTACATTTTTACTTGTCCGTCGGTGAGAATCGAACCCGGGTCTCCCGCGCGAAGAGCGAACGGCCTACATACTGGGCCATTGTAGCACTTAAATTTGCTGTGGCAAACCGAGCATTGTATGTAAAGGGTCAAGCGGAGAATATATTTGAAAACTAATTGCATAATTTTGACCATTCGCGTTTTACTTATTTACATACATATATACTTATGTATATATTTATGCTATCGCAATTTATATTTTGTGTAGTATAGTAAATAGCTAAATATAAACCAAATTAATTTCGGTTTACCGCTTGCCATCAATAAAAAAAAGGAATAAAAAAAAGAGTCAAAAAACAAATTTTAAAAAAAACTTAAAAAAAAAACAAAAAAAAAGTAAAAATAGTTTGCTCTGGGACTCGAACCAGGGTCGTTTCGATTTCTAACCAAGCGCTTTAACCGTCTGCGCTACGAGTACAGCCGCCCGGGAGCTGACAAGTTCTGGCATTGAACATTTTGGTGTGCCAGAGCATGTGAAAACAACTATTTCTATTTTTTAGAAAAACTTTCTAATTTTTAGAAAATGTTTCTATTATTTAGGGTTAGCTTAATTTTAGGGTTAGGGCACTCATTTTTAGAAAAAGTGTTGCCAAAATATTTTATTAGTTTCGTTTGCCTTTCTATTTTTCAGAAAATTATTTCTAATTTTAAGGGCATTTTTCTAGATTTTAGGGTGATTTTAGTTCATGGTAACCATTTTCTACATTTAAGAAATACTTCCTGGATTTAAGGAAAACTTTCTTGACTTAAGAAAAATTTCCTTAGATTTAGAAATAACTTTCTTGTATTTAGAAAAAAGAAATTTTAATGGCGATTTTCTAAAATTTAGGGTTAAATTTATTTTGAGTGTATAAATATGTTGTAACGCATAGACTTTATTTTGTATCATTTCCAAAACTATTATAAGTAAAATTATATATTTCAATAAATAATAATTATTTCAAGACAACTTAAGACAGCCATACTATTTCTGCAACTTATATTATTATCTATAGAATTAGTTTACAACACCTCCAAAATTATTATAAAAATGCTTTTAATTTCCCGTGTAGACACACTCTCTCTGGTGGCTGCTTTTAACTTTATCAGCTAGTTTGGTTTGGGGTTTTTCGCAGTTCGGGGCGGTTTAAAAAATGAAAAGGCGAGCAGATGACACGGAAGCAGATGAAGATGAAGGGGCAACGCGGCGATATCCGATGACGTGGCCGGCAGAGATGGCCAAAATGGCAGCGAAAGCATTAATAATGGCCTGAGACCGAGCCAAAGGACCAAAGGTTTTCCGGGGCGAAATGATGAGCAGGTGCAGCCACTAATTAGTAGCAACCACACACGAAAAATCGGGGAAAATGGGCAAAAGAAGCCTTAACCCCTGATAAAACAGCACTTCATTGGAGTTTTCCGGTGGTGTTGAATATATAAGGAAATTAGATGCCTTAACAGCACATACTCTCCTTAAATATCCCTCAATTTGCCTTGATTTTTGTGGTTTCACACACACACACGAGGATGGGAAGCGCTTAAAAACTCATTTAGCCCCAAGCAAAAACAGAAACGACAGCTGCGCCACTTTAATATAAAATGTAAATTTACACAAAACTACTTTTTGCTTGTCTGCGTTTTGGTATCTCCGTTCGTTTGGGGTTTTTCCTCCCAAGTCAGCCTTCCACCCACAATTTTCCCCTTCGGGTCAACCGCTGTAAAACATGAAATATTCGATTTCGGGATACAAAGTGAAACTGAGCCGTAATATTTTAATCAAATTATGCAATTCAGTGGACTTCTGTTTCAGCCTTCTGCCCCTCTGCGGATTTCAATTACGAGAAACATATGACTTTTGAATTAAATGACCTGAAAATTGTCCCTTTTCTCTGCCAGAAGCAGCAGCGGCAGTAAAAAAAAATACAGAAAAGGACAACCAGACACACAGCAACACACTTTACGATCTCATCAACCTGGGTAATGGCCAAATTAGGGGAAACGATGGTTTCGAGGGTTCGAGTGAGTGGGTGGCAGTTGTCGAAGCATTCGATACCCTGGCAAATTCATTGTTCCTCTGCCAGCAATTTTGCGGGAAAATTTCTTCATTCGTCCAGTCATTTCTGTACCAGGAACATTGGGACGGGAAAGGGGGTTCGGAAAATGACCACAAAGACATGGCAACAAGGACGACAATGTACAAAAGGAAGGGCAGGACACAAATGAGGCGAGACAACAACACAATAATGTACAATACTCGTTGTAACTGGCAGCATGTAAGCAACTGGAAAAAAATGGAATCGCTTCGGCCAGAGGGAACTAGGAAAACGCTGTAAAATGTTTACGGTTCTAGTTCTAAAGGCGAATAAATCTTAATTAAAATAAACACATTTTGGGGGCATGAATATATCTCTACAGTATATATATAGAGTCAATACCATTTTAAAAAATCAAAACAATATTAAGTTAATAAAAACAAAACAAAATGCATAAAAAATCTTATTGAAAGAATGTAGGCATTAATAAGTATGACAGATTCTTTGCTTTTACAAAAACTATAAGCTTTGGAATTATACAGTTTGGCCGAAAGTTACGGTCCTTCAAGCCGGATTTTGGTAATACCTTTTTTAAAATCCCATTGACAATTCATTTGAAATGCATTATAGCAAACTATATCCGATAAGTTCGAAGTGCAGGTCATCGATACTGAGCATATTGCTTGATCTGTGCAGTTATTTTATTTTATCCCTGTTGTCCCCGAACACACTCATATTTGTGGCCAGTGAGAAACGCAGGAGACAAGATGAGCGAACGGCAAAAGAAACTACACCTAAACGGAGACAAGCCAACACGTGTGTGTACAATGTTGGTGGCACAAGGACATGGACATGGACATGAATTCGAAGAGGGGATGGGGGGTTTAGAACTGCGGCCAAGGATCAAATGAAGCACTCCAATGGCACCCAAGTGGGCTAATCAGCAGCACACACATCCACACATCCTTGAAAAAGCTAGAAAAAGGAGCTTGTAACGACGCAAAAGCGAGTGAGTCAGGGAGTCAGTCAACATTTGAAATAAAAGAGAAATGAGCAAAATAAAAAAATGGAAAAAAAAGCACACCAAATTGCCATTTTTCCTACGCTTCCTGCTTTCCTAGAAGAAAAGCTGGGGGGTGGGTGGTGGTATAAAATGAAGTGGAAAAAAGTAAACTATGAATGCGACCATATGTACACACAAGCGTACAGATCATGCATATGTATTTGCAGATATCCTGTGTGTCTGCTCTCTCCAGGTCTGGGTTTTTATTTGTTTTCTGTTGTTATTACGACTCCATTGCGTTTAGATGGAGATTAAGTCGCTATCCTCCCCCCTTCGCAATCCCACCGCCAGCCTGAAAACCTCTCGAAACCCACAGATTCAGCGACTCATGCCTTTCAATGATGGGTACTTCTTGAGCTAAAGGGTATATTGGGTATTTATGAAATCATGTTTATGAATTTCAGTGAATTTCTGTAGAGAATTTTGGACATGATCTCTAACAATTAGCTAAAGACTATTTATGGTCCTTCAAGCCGGATTTTTCTTCTTGAATTTCCTTGAATTTAATGGACTTTTTTAGTCGAAAACTTAGGTAACTGCCAGTTAGGGTCCTTTAAGCCGGATTCTTTTAATTCCTTTTTAAAATTGAAATGCTAGGTAACTCATTCGTCGATTTTTTCAAACACAATATTTTAGTTGTTTTTCGTTACATTTCGTTCTTCTCTATCTCAACCTCCTTTTGTTTTTTTTACAATTTTTTTCTGCTTTACGAGCAGTTTATTTGCTCGCCGGGTATGTATGTGTGTGCTTGTGCCATTTTTATGCCATATGCGAGATAGCGGGCAACTCTGCACCAACATTTGTTTATGATTTTAGTAACAAATGAAAACGGTGCAAAAAGAAAGCGGAAAATATTGTATATTACCAGCGAGAGAGAGTGGGAGCTTGACTATTATATTGCTTTTGCGGGAACGCCAGGCTCTGGCTGCCAGCGTGTGTGTATGCTTTTATTAGTCACTGTCACTGCGAACGCGCTGCATAGTTGCTCCCCAAAGTGCCATCGAGCAAAACGATGCTCATGCCGATGTGAGTGTGTTGATAAGCGGCATGGTAATTTCTCGACTCCACTTTGCCCCGTTGTTATTGCGGAAATGTTGAAGCGAAAATGTATTAAAAATATACACCCTCACCTAGCTAGGGTTGCCAGGCTCGTTTTGCCTTCAACATGTACTCTAATTGGGGCCTAAGAATTTTTTAATAAACTTAAATATAATATAAAATAAAAATGTCATGCAATTCCCTTTAATGGGCGTAACTTCAAATACTTTTTTTGTTAAATGCAAATTACTAAATAAAGTAATCGAGAAGACTTGACAGCCCTAGGCAAAAGAAAACAATCACAAAGTATGCAAAGCCAAAAAGGAAAAATATGTTCGGCTCTATAAAAACAACAGAATGTTCGCAAATTTTGTGGAAGTGAAATGAGTGGGAGAAAAGCTCATAAAAGAAAATTGACTGCGAAAATGTGAAACTCTTCATTTGACATAACCTTCACATGGCGTTAAGTGTCTTCTTTTATTTTCCTAAAAAAAAATAAGATATTTTAATTAAATAGATAACTTTATATGAAATCATTTATACATTAAACAAATTCTTACATTTTCTTTATTTTTTATAAGAAATTGTAACATTGCCTGTCTTTTGAATAGCTGATACTTTCGTGTAGGGTAAAGAGACATCATCATTTTTATAAATAGTCGCATATGGTGAAGTGACAACCTCGGGAGGATCGATACTTGTGGTCGTATATGATGATAGAACGGGATCAGTAGGACAAAGACTTGGTGGCAACTTAGCGATACTCCTCCCTACAATTGCATTCGTCTCAATGGATTCCAAGAATATTCTTGGAGGAGCAGTGACAGAAGGCATAATCTCGACGGGGAGATCACGGCTCTGAGGAAACTCAACATTCCTTAGCCGTAATTTGGCCATCACAATGGGATCGAATATGGGAGGCAAGCTTATCCTGATCTCTTTAATTTTTTTCCGTTTCCATTTTTGAAACAAGAGATATGCCAGTGCCAAAATGATTGGGATCGCGATAAGGAGGCTTATTCCAAGACCAAGGAGATTCGGCGATTCTTCTGGATCTCCGTACCACTTCATGAAACCTGGGGAATCTTTATATTTCGCTAGAACTGCCATTTTTCTAGTATCATTGTTGAACTGATAACTTCTTGACCATAAAGAGCGCCAATCATTTCGCTCTAACTGCTCACTTTTTTCGCAGAAATTATTACTGTTCGTGTGGGCATGGCATGAGTATATATAGTAACCAGAAAGGTCCTCCTCCTCCTGTGGTGGATCCCAGGTGAGTGTATGGTCCTCCAAATGGTACTGCAAATTTCGTGGCTGACGTCTCTTGTAATCCCTCAAAATTGGCACCGACAGGGTATGGTTCTTCTTTGAGCGACCGACGGAGTTCTGACTCCAAATAATTACTGTGGCTGGTTGCAGCGAATCCCAATCGCGGAAGACGGCAGAACTGTTGCCCTGATGCAGCGGCTTCTTTCTGAAAGTAAAAGAGAAAATTATCAAATTTTACTTTTAATATTAGCAAATTGCACATCGTCTTAAAGTACTTTAAAATGTGTCTGACGCTCTCATCTTATAAGATTTAGGAAAAGTATAAATGCAATTTTGTTGTGTTTAAAAATACCTCTCAAAATGTAGAAGAAATTTGTTAGATCGGAGAATCCATTAAAAAGTTATGAGATAAATCAACAAAGCATGCCATCAACAATTTAAACAGCCGCTAGGTGGAGCCAGTAGCTGTCATGACTGCATAGCCCCATCACCCTCGCACTCTCTTCAGCTGAGTAACGGGTATACGTCTATAGCGTTCCCTCTTGTTTTGAATAGGACTTCGCCGACCCTCTAAAATGTTTTTGAAAGCTTACCCCGTATCTGTGACCACTATGTAAGTAAGGTTTCCCCCGCTAAACTTCAGATCCTTCAGCTTCAACCAAAACACGTGAATCATCTTTTTGTTCGGGTCGTAGTAGAATCCATTTTCCAGGAACTCCGGCATGTTGGGTACTAATTGCTTCATGGTGTAGTTCAGGTATTTATTATCGTTTGTCCAGGGCGAAAGACTGTGGTTAAAGCGGACATCTAAATATGCTTCAATGGTATCATTTATATAGGGCGGGATCTTAAAGCACACATCTTTCGGGTCTTCGAAGCCAGCATCTGAATAGCTAACTAAAGTGGCCTCTTGGAGTCTAAATCTCGGATCCGGCGTCAAGAGTGACACTTTCCATTCGTATGAGTCGGAATTTTTAAAAGCATTCGAACCGAAATTCACGCAAATCCCGAGTCGTGACTGTTCAATCAGGGGCTCATTACTCGGCCAATAAGGCTTTCGCATTCGGATGTCATTTAGGATATACACTTGCTTCTGCGAATCTATTTCAATTGTGAAGTTTCGGTTAAGTCCATGCAAATTAGCTGGGTATGGCAGCTTAAAGCACACCACATTGTCGTCCATAGATATATCATAAGCTTTATACTTATTGTCCATGGCTAAAGATAATCTAGTGGCTGTCAATCCTTCAAAGAAGTGGTGGAAGCTACACTCCATTTCCGTCTTGATATCAGTGTAGAAACAATCAAACGTCTCTAGAAGAGAATACATCGAGATGACGGCTTTAGTTAGGCCATTACCTGGCCAATTGCACTTGAATTCCAAGGCCCCATACCACAGCTGATCTGGCTTGAACCGGTAACCGATAGTAGACTCGTCGATGGGCACCGTTTTTAACCTCAGATCATCCAGCTTAAGCTGAATTTCCCATGGTTTTGGGGCGGATCCATTGTAGGAGCAGCATACATCGTAAGTGAAATCGGCTTGCAAGCCATTTGTAAGGGTATAGATAATTCCACTTAGTTGAACAGAGGAACAACGAAATGCCACCGCCGTTATAAGCAAAAAAGTCCGCCAGCTCATGTCGACATCAAAACATTGACTAAAAATATATTTATATATTTTTTGTTTTGCTTTGGGTCTCCTTATCGCTATACTCCAGTGCACAGCATCGTATCAGCATTGAAATTCGGCATTTAAACGATCCCTTGTGGACCACAGATTGTAAGCTCAGAGCTATACATATTTTCCATACAAAACGCTCTTCCTCTCTTTTTCGCAGTCATAGAATCTCCGATGTTGAAATTTACCATGCGCATATCGTTTTGATCGCGCCGTGTTTGGTTTTTTTTATTTTAAAATTTTATTTTCAGAAAAGCCTAAGGTATTTTCGTAAACCAATTAAAATCTGGATGGGTGTTTTCTTATAAGCCTCGTCACGCTTTTGCAACGCACACCCATCAAAAGTGTCATTCATTAGCTTTATGCTCATGCCGTCGAGGTTTATGGCTCTTCTTATATGTTTGCATGATTTTTAAGCCTCATTGCGAAAGCCCAAAGGTGTTGTGTGTGCCGCAGCCATTATACCTATGCTTGTGTACTTGTATCCGTGTCCTCGGAGCTCCTTAGTTCGAGCATAATTTCTAATTAACTTTTTGCTCGCAGGCGACGCGTGGGCACAACTCAGGGATCCCAGATACCATATATATACGTATAGCATCCAGATCCCAGTGTTCCCTTTAGCACGTCATCATAAAAATGTTTTGCCAACACATTTATGGGACGCCTCTTGGGTCCAAACGAAGGAAAAGTCGAGGGGGAAGGAAAAATGCGTAACAAATGAAGCGGAGAAAAACAAGAGCTCTGAAAATGGTTGTAAAAACCGAAGAAGAAGAATCAGAACCAGAACAACACCTGTAACACCCAGCATTCTTCATCATTTTCTCGGGTCTCTTGTTGTTGTTCTTGTTTTTATGCGTTAAGTCATTAAAATGAAAATTTATTATGCGCACCCCTCAAAGAAAATAAGACGAAGGATGTAGGACGAAGGACACACGCAGCAACAAGCGACGCGACCGCCTATGAGGCGTATACGCAACGTGGCCATGCAGCATATTTTCCTCATTAAGCCCAAACGGAATGGAAGGCCGTTGCCATAATGAAGCCAATAAAGCTTTTTATCTGGCAGACAACGTGATTTATTTATATGCCTGAGAAATTACAAGCAAAGCCGCCTTTGATTCCAAATCCATATGAAGTTATCCTCTTAAACGGGGGCGATGAGAAACCACATAACTTCAAGCGTTCATTAAGAAGGCCGGCGAAACAGATGCTTCTAAAGATTCTGGCGCGTTGAGTTTAAGAAATTTCAGGGAATATTAAACTTACATGCACTCAAATTCGGTTTTTTATGGAAATACATTTTTCTTAGCCATTTTAGCCATATTTATATGGTCTTATATTAAAATTGGTGACCACAATATTTTCTTTCTTTTATTTAATTTAAGCTAGATCTTATTTTTTGAGGTATTTAAGATTCCAAGAAAGAATATATCGTTAAGTGCAAAGCATGTTTCTTTTAAATGAATTATATTTTAATTGGTGACCCCAATTGAATTCTTTAATGAAAGCCATATGGGCACTTCCAAAAAAAAGTCCACCAAGCCAAAAACCTTGAAACTTGAAAAAAACATATTTCCACATGATTTTGCCCCGATATTAGTTTCTAATTAGTTGGATACTGAGCTTAACTATAAATTTGCAGTATAGTTTGATTATTTTTATGACAAACTCCACCAATATACGCAAAAACCAGTTTTTGGCTATTTTTTGTTATTTTTTGGACCTGTCTTCTGTTGTATATTTATCCTATAGGAATGCAAATATGTGACATTTTTATGTACTGAATGCTTCATTCACATGCTAAACTATTAAGTTAAAAGCAAAGCATCCAGCAATTGAGAGATAGAGGTAAAGAAATCCGCTTTACAAAACAGTCGGAAAAAATGTCCCGAGCGACATGTCCCGAGCGAATGTGGTTGAAACTGCATAAAAAAAGAACGGCAAAGAATTTTTGAGTGAAACCAAAAGCATTTCACAGCGACATGTTTGAACAACATTCTAAAAAAATCGCATTCAAATATTCCATCAGAATTCGCTAATTTCTGGTGTTGTATGAACTTCCCCGAAATCCACTTCTATTTTTGTCCCGAGCGAATACGGCAGTTTTTTACCGATATCTTAACAACTAAAAGTGGTACAAAATCAAGATTTTTACCAAAAATAGAGCTTGGGAAGAGTGAAAGGAAAAGCCCATAATTAAAATTAAAATCCATTGTTTTACAATTTTTGTTCAACTTTAAAGGTGTGCAAATGTCCCGAGCGACATTTTGGAAGTGCCCATATGTAGATATTGCTTGAGAGGTAAACACTGTACACCTAAGAAAAATGAAAAAAAAAAGAATTACAGCAAAACAAGTTTAACGTAAATTACGTCTAGAGCTTTCTTACATATATTCTATTTTATACCGATTGTTTGAATTTAATAATGTCGGCAACGCTTCCTTCTACCTGTAACCGAATTTTTCACGAAAGCTATTTAACCTTTTACTCTACGAGTAAATGAATATAAAACCGATTATAATTTCTGCGTGGACTTCACCCGTTTTCCTGGGGCTAGCTGCATCCTGTACAATCAAGCCACGCCACCCCAACATTTTGGTCCTTCGAGCCGGATAAGTGAGTTTTTCAAGAGAATTCAGAGTCGATAAATTTAACTAAATAAAGAAATAATTTTAAAAAATATATTTTGGAATGCGATATTTATTATTTAGTTTTCAAAATCTCGGAAAACAGTTATCTTTTTATTAAGGAATATTTAAAGCATATTCTCGTTTGGCATTCGAGTGCAATTTCCACGTAATTATTTCAGCATCAAACGGCCCTCGCAGATGGAAACTTTTTCGCCGAGCAAACAGCGAAACTTTGCCATCATATTTTCTAGCTGCCGTGTCGTGTCCTTTGTGCCTGGCCCAGTTTGCCAGCTTTCCTGCCGAGTTTTCCTCCAGCCAAACCAGGACGAAGACGAGCGTGGGCAGCATAAGCAGGGATAAGTGCTCCTGAGTGGACAGGACTCATTAGAGCTGACTGAGCGAATAATAAACAAGAAGCAATCGCTTCGCCTCGCCTTCCCATTTTGCGGACTTTTGCTTCTTGTTCCGTTCGGTTTTCGGAGGCGGTGTTTAAAAGCATTTCCATGCTAAAAACAAAAGGCCATTCAATAGGATTTCGCCTTTATGGGACTGGCTGCCCAAATGCGGCTTAAGTTGGTGCCTCCACTACCTCTGAAGGTCCAGGTCCCTTGGACATCCACAGTTGGCACTCTCGCATTATTTACATGCTCATGCCCCCTCTAAGTATTTACTCGTCCAAGTCCAAGTTCGTTTCTGTTCTGTTCTGAAAGACTGAAATTCTAAACCTTTTTGCGGGGAATGGGTGGAGATGCACTGCCTCTAACACAAAAAGGAGCTTTTAAAATATTCATAGAATTGCTTTAGTAACGGCAAATGAGCAAGCCAGAACGTTCCAGTTTGGCCTCAAAATGTCATTTTGGGATGTGCACTGAAAATTAAATAAATTATTTTGGTATGTCAATCAATCTAAAGAATCTTCTGGAAGAATCCTTAACAAAATATTCTCAAAATCTGTTAGAATCTGCCAGAAATCTTAGTAAATATTAGTTTAATGCGATCTAAAAAACAATCAAAAATATATATTTCAACCAATTTTTAAAAAACTTTTTATATTTTCCATGAAGGGTTAATAAAAGGTACTCAAATATGTTTATTTTAAGAACTTTTTAACATACTAATACGATATTTCATCCTATTGAAACCTACAGATGAACGAAGATTTCTGGTGATTTTCTAAATTTTTTTTAGAAATTTCCAATTTGTTAATTACAAATCTGTATAAAAGCCAGTTTTTGTCTATTGAATTTTTTTGTAAAAGTAAATAATAAAATAAAAAATAATAAAATGGAGTTAAAGTTGCTCAATAAATATTTCAATGAACCCTCTTCTTTTAGTGCAAAGTATTCATTTTCCTATCCAATTGTCTATCTCTATCGGCGAATGGCATATGGATGGAAGGGGAGGGTGAAGGGGAGTAGGCCACAGGTTATGCGGCAAAAAGCAATTTTTATTTACCAGAGGGCTCCGCTGGATCCCTCTACTCCATTCCCGTTCGCATTCCGTTGACTGATTGGCGAGACGGCGCCAGTGAGCAAATACCGGAGACTGGAGACCGGAGACAAACGAGGGCGTCCATCTCAAGATGCCACCTCCCCAGAATTCAAAGCCCATCCCCTCTCTCCTTCAAGCAACTCCATCGGGTTCGGTATGCAAATCAGGAACGACGACGCCGGGCAGGAAGTTGATTAAATGACAAAATAAATAGAAAGTGAAGGATAATGTCAACATTCTAAGTGGTTTTCTTTTAAAAAGCTTAACTGACAATGAACCGCAGGGCAGCGGTCGCTTTCCCGCTTCTCCCCCCGTTTTCCCCATTTTCCCGCTAAAAAGTTGGGGGTCCTGCGACCACGGCATCAAGTTGAATAAATTATTTTTGTGACTGGCGGGCAGGCTGGAATCTGGTTGGGGAAAGCTACGGGATACACAGGACACGAGTCCTTGAGGTCGCTGCCACAGGAAATTGACTTTGATAGTGCATGAAATTTGATGATAATTTAACATTTTTCAATTTCGGTTTATGGACCCCAAAATCCACGTGGCGGCTACACTGAAAATAATACATAGGTTCCGTGAGGTAAACTGATTTTTTTTATGTTCGTTGAAAAACTTCTGAAACTTTTTTTTAATTTTAAAAATTTTAAAGATTTTGATAGAACTTAGGGTTTTATTAAATAGATCAATAAAAATTATTAATTTATTTTAATCCAAATTTCCCTGCCCTTCCTAAAAAATATAAAAATATAATTTCATTTTTCAGCTTAAAACCTTGACCATTTGGTTGGTATTTTTCTAGTGCACCCCCATATGAAGTCGCTTGAAGTGCACGGGGAT